CCTGGGGCCTCCTGGGGCCTCCTGGAGCCTCCTGGCGGCTCTCTAAGAAGCCACGCGGGGGGCCTCAAAATTGCCGACAGTTTCAAGGATGGGAGCCTTCCCGTTGAGAAAGAGGGCGCGGTGGACATTGAATAATGACGACAGTGTCACATTTGACGCCCAAAACCAACTTTGCGGTCCCCCCGCCGGAATCCCGGTCCTGCATAGTACGGTGCGATTTGCCCCGTCCCCGCTGTCCAGCTGGTCACCGCGAGGGCTAGTTTTCGGATTTCCGCTGGTAAGAAACACTTTTGCGGTCGAAGAGATGCACCAGCCAACACCAAACACTTACCGCAATCGCCGCCGCATGGGCTTATGCAACTCAAGTTGCAGGTGGGCGGGTGGGATGATTGCGCGAGCAGTGGAATTGACAACGCACTGCGAGCAGAAATTAACTCTCCTTTCCTCAAAAAATATTTTGGATCTACCTCCCCCCCGACTTAACGGTACACTTTCTTGCATTGCAATTTACTTTCAATTCTGCCCCATCGTCCATCCTAAACTTGAACCCAGACCATCCCAGGCAGGCCAGTATTGGTTCCCCCCCTTAAGTCCACACGCGCGCGTCGCCGCGCGCGCATGCAGAAATCCTTCACCAAAAAAACCTTAGGTTCCGTAAGGACTAGAGAATCGAGAGTCACGAATACATCTGAAAACACATGGCTTCGCAACAGTGGTTTTCAAACAGAGTCCTGCGCCCGCGCTGCTGCGAATTCGTCAGAATTCCAGAGGTCTTTCAACATTTGTCCCTACCTAGGCTCTGCCTAGAAGGGTTCTTACTCTGTTAGCTAAAGGGGCCGAGCAATGCTAATCGCCCCAGGCGGTTCCCCCAGTCCCCGCCCCGCGGTTCCCCCAGTCCCCTGGGAGCTTTAGCCTTAGCTTTAGCTTTAGCTTTAGCTTTAGCTTTAGCTTTAGCTTTAGCTTTAGCTTTAGCTTAGTGTTAGCTTAGCTTTAGCTTAGCTTTAGCTTAGCTTTAGCTTAGCTTCAGCTTAGTGTTAGCTTAGCTTTAGCTTAGCTTTAGCTTAGATTTAGCTTAGCTTCAGCTTAGTATTAGCTTAGATTTAGCTTAGTGTTAGCTTAGCTTTAGCTCAACTTTAGCTTAGCTGTAGCTCAGCTTTAGCTTAGCTTTAGCTTAGCTTTAGCTTAGTGTTAGCTTAGCTTTAGCTTAGATTTAGCTTAGCTTTAGCTTAGCTTTAGCTAGTTTAGCTTCAGCTTAGCTTTAGCTTAGCTTTAGCTTAGCTTTAGCTTAGCTTCAGCTTAGCTTCAGCTTAGTTTCAGCTTTAGCTTTAGCTTTAGCTTTGGCTTAGCTTTAGCTTAGCTTTAGCTTAGCTTTAGCTTAGCTTTAGCTTAGCTTTAGCTTAGCTCTAGCTTAGCTTCAGCTTAGCTTTAGCTTAGCTTTAGCTTAGTGTTAGCTTAGCCTTAGCTTAGCTTTAGCTTAGCTTTAGCTTAGCTTTAGCTTAGCTTTAGCTTAGCTTCAGCTTAGTGTTAGCTTAGCTTTAGCTTAGCTTTAGCTTAGCTTTAGCTTATCGATCAGCTTAGTGTTAGCTTAGCTTCAGCTTGGTGTTAGCTTAGCTTTAGCTTAGCTTTAGCTTAGCTGTAGCTTAGATGTAGCTTTGCTTTAGCCTAGCTTTAGCTTAGCTTTAGCTTAGCTTTAGCTTAGCTTTAGCTTAGCTTTAGCTTAGCTTTAGCTTTAGATTTAGCTTAGCTTTAGCTTAGCTTTAGCTTAGCTTTAGCTTAGCTTTAGCTTAGCTTTAGCTTAGCTTTAGCTGTATCTTAGCTTTCGCTTAGCTTTAGCTTAGCTTCAGCTTAGCTTTAGCTTAGCCTTAGCTTAGCTTAGCTTAGCTTTCGCTTAGCTTCTGCTTAGCTTTAGCTTAGTGTTAGCTTAGCTTTAGCTTAGTGTTAGCTTAGCTGTAGCTTTAGCTTTAGCTTAGCTTTAGCTTAGCTTTAGCTTAGCTTTAGCTTAGCTTTAGCTTAGCTTTAACTTAGTGTTTGCTTAGCCTTAGCTTAGCCTTAGCTTAGCTTTAGCTTAGCTTCAGCTTAGTTTTAGCTTAGCTTTAGCTTAGCTTTAGCTTAGCTTTAGTTTAGCTTTACTGTTACTACTAATGCTGCTTTCCTAGGGGCTCCAACTCCTAGGTAGGGTCGCACTGGGATAATCATAAACATGCTATTCAACGGGCCTGGGAGGGAACAGGGCTGGGCGGAGCAGAGCTGGGAGAAAAAAGGGGCCCGCGGAGCAGGGTCTCGGCGGGACGGCGTCAGGCGGAAGAGGCACCCGGCGGAGCATCAGTCCGCCTCCTCCTCCTCCTCCTCCTCCTCCTCCTCCTCCTCCTCCTCCTCCTCCCCCTCCTCCTGGAGCTGCAGGGGGAGGAGGGGGACGGATCGGATCGACCCGGCAGGAGGAGTCGTCAGGCTCCACGGCGCCGTCTGCCCCCTACCGTCCGGGGGGGGGGGCCACAAGGGTGGAGCTTGGAGCCACGGCGACGACGACGACGACGACGACGCCGAGGTTGAGATTGAACTTAGAGCTCAAAAACCTTTAGGACAGTACCTATATCCCGCCCTGCACGGCGGAGACAAACCACCAGGGCCCTGACCATCCTCCCTGGGAAGGGAGGGGAGTGAGGAGGGGGGGGGGGAATATTCGTCCCACCCACGCCTCGTGGGTGTCCTTCCACCACTTGCTGAGCGCACGCTCCTGCGCGTCCCTGAAGTGCGAGTCGTAATCGTCGGCGGGTTCCATGGACACACCTCCCAGCACCGTCGCCCTCTCCCTGGAAGGGATTCCCCCTCAAACTCCACCTCCTGTTCTTCCCCTCTCCATCCTCCACCTCCTCCTCCTCCTCCTCCTCCGGAGCCCCTGGAGCCTCGGACACATTTACCCTCACGAATGAAAGATAGCCTGCAAAATGGGAAAAGGAGGGTAATTGGACTGGAAAGGGGGTACCCAACACCCTCTTACTTGTTGGGTCCTTCCTCTTCCTCAAATCCTTCAGAGCTCTCCTGCCCCACTCGCCTGGCCCGTTGGAGGGGCACTCATTGATCAAGCCTTTCACCTGATCAGCGCCACACTTCCCGCAACGAGCACCAAAATACGTGCGCCGACACACCCACATCCTATGGGTTGGGTGGGCTCTGGCTATCGTTCTCGGGGTTCCGGGACACGGCTGGCCGGTGACACAATTCCTCTAAGCGAGCTCTGACCACATATCCTAACCTAACCTACAGCCCCACTGGTCTCAGTCTTTGCAAAAGAGGTGCCCATTATCCCCACAACGATTCTTACAGTAAAGACGAATTCACCTGCTACTCCACGTTTGTCAGGCCCCTTGTGGACCTTTGGCATGCCCTCTACATCTAGAAAACCATCCTGCTGAGACTAAACCGTACACCTGACAGGAGACGCACAAACTGAATCCCGAACTCTTCGGCGGCCCTCAGACGTTCGAGAACATGGGGATTGGAGGGGTGACCCATGGCTCCTAGCTTGGCGTACCTGTCGGCCTCAGAGTTCCCCGAATGCCAGTGGGGAGGGAACCCGTTCCTACTCAACCAGGCCCTGGACTTGTGCGACGGCATCCGAAACAGCTCGAAGTTCTGCCGTTCCACATCATCGATTTTCCAGAAAATCAGCCTCCAGGTTTCAAAGTAGGGTTGGGATGGGTCAAAAATTGCCTCAGCTTCCTCTCCTCCTTCTCCTC